CCGAAACTGCCAAGTGTTTCCAGTAACAGCTTTGCTGTTGGCTTCGGACATTGTCCTCGCTGCTTAATGAGAGCACAAGGTAATGGAAGGGCCTCAGGGACGAAGGGGAAAGAAGGAAAGAGAGTCTTATGAATGAATAAGAAAGCTGTTTTTATTAATACTGCTAATTTTGAGTGTGGCTCAAGGGATGGCAGTGGTCCACCGCTTTGGTCCATACTTAAATATCTCTTCAAGTATGAAATGGATTGCCAGTATCATTTTGTACAAACATTAATGGAGCCCAGATGATGTTTTTAACAAATTAAGTGTACTCTACAAGTACCATCATCGGGTCAACACAAAATAATCACATTTCAAATACCCTTTGCTTCGATTCTGTTTTAAGGCTATCAGATGTCATCAGAATACGATTAAATGTCCAAGGATTTGAACCCGTGCAATGAAATTCCCTGTTCTTTACCAAAGCCTGTATATAAGAAGGGGAATTGTCACCGGAGTGAACAAGACATGTTCAGGTGACCAATATTTTGCATTTTCATGAAGTGAAAACAGTGAAGGAAAACTTAAAATAAAACCCAATAGAACAACCCCCGTTAGCCACGTAACTGTATATAAGAAGCCATTGTAAGCTTGATAGCATTTAGCTCAAACCATAACCAAAATAAAGTTTCTGGATCCGTGTGTGCTACAACCTTGATCCTCTAGAAAAGCTGTACCTTCATATGCATACCTGAAGTTAAAAGTCATAGGGAACGCTAAACCAAAAAAAAAACATTCATTAATCCTTCCTCTGTGTAAAGTCGTGCTTGTGCTTGAATGATTCTTTTCAATGTGTTGCCTTTAATGCCGAAACCAAGCCAAGCAGCCAAGTCCCTTGTATTACATCTTAGCACCTGTTAATCATAACATCACCTCCTGGCAGCGATCCCTGCTCACAAAATGAAAAATGATTGGAGTTTGTTCAATCTGCTCTGACAAAAACGCCCAACACTGGCTGGATGGGATTAGTAAGAGGACAAAGCATCGGTTTAGTAATCTCTGGGCAGTTTTACACATGTCATACACGTTCATTCAGGATGTTATTATGAGTACTTCAACAGATGGAAATCATGATGTATTATTATTGCGTATGAAGCACAGGAACCAACATGATAAGTGTTGGGTAATATTGTGACTTCAGGAGTAGAACAATACAAATCTATTTCATTTCATTTCAAACCTTTATTTAACCAGGTGATTGATCTCTTTTTTCAAGGGAGAGCAAGTAGGTTCCACATGAAGACATACAAACAGAAAACAACAGAAAAACTAAAAAGGACATCATACAACAACGATACAGGGATTTACAATCAGTGAGAGCTGCACAACTCTGCTTTTTGTCTAAGATATTAGCAATATCATTCACCACTTTCATTGTGGCAGTGATGGTGCTATGTTGCTTTCTGAAGCCTGACTGATGTTTACATAGGATGTCATTGTTACATAAAAACTCCTTTACCTGTTCACTCACACATCTATCCAAAGACATCATCAGAGAAATATATGTATTCCCTACTATGAACATTTCAAATGTGCACTAAAAGGCTCTCACAGGGTTATCCAAGGATCCGAAGAACAGATGGCGGGTAATTAACTGTGTGTGTTTGCAGTTTAGTCTTCACACCTTCTCCGAGCTGACGACACAGACAACACAGCACTGTCATGGAGAAAATATGTGCGAACGCAGCGTACACACACATTTTAAGAGCCAGTGTTTCTGCCTCCTTCGGCAAAGCAAGGCCCAGAGGAAAATTCCAAACAGTGACTTTATTATGCCGCGCTTTCATTTGGCACCGCTTTCCAAATTCACACCTTGTGTTTATTTCAATTTGGACTGTTATGCTGGTGTCACGGATGAGTTTTATCATATCTACTTAAGTGCAAACTGTTTTTCTCACGTTCAAACTGTTTATTTTAGATATAAATCTTGATAGTAAAAGCTCATTATGTTAACCTAATGATGTTATATATTTTGGCGTTGTCTTGATCTCGTTCAAATCTTAAAGGCCAAGTGGATACTTGGATAATGGAAGAAAGGTGTTTCATGCTGTGTAACTAAAATTCAACACGTGTTCTCACATCAGTTCATGTACACAATGCAGTAGAGCTCTGGCCAGCATTGTTGCACGCTTGCTCACCATTCCAGTGTTTCCAATTTTGACCGCTTTCCTCCAAGTTTCAGGATCATCGCACGCCAGACATATAACACTGATCTCAAAACTCATTTATTCGACTCCCACCTCGACAGTGAGGGAGCGATTTGGAGATATATAAGATCCAATACGAAGCTATTCTCCTGGCCCCTCAGTGAACCTTTTCATGAACTATGTGATATATTTCTGATCCATCTTGGAGATTTTGCAGATACGTGATACTTGCATAGGAATCCCAGCGGGGCCGCGTTACATGTCTGTGACCTGTGGATTGGTTGCGCAATCTCTGCTCAAATCTGCAGACTTTTATGCAAGTGTGTGTTGCATAATAGATAGTACATTTCAACAGGCTGCAGTTGTGCAGGAGTGAGTGAAAGCTGAATTAATTATGTATCTAGTGCTTTAGAAAGGTTACATTCTGTTCTAATGACACACACCGGGTAAGGTTACAAACTGTTCTGTAAACTTAACATACTGGACAAGAACGGTTTGCATGGACACTACGTATATCTGCACAAACACACACTACGTATATCTGCACAAACACACACTGCGTATATCTGTAGAAACACACACAGTGAGTGCCTGTAGCCCTGATCTCTGAGTAAGTCGATGTGGAGTCTGTCTTAGACTGCAGGGAATTACCTCAGCTCTGAATCATGTGGCGCCTTGCCGAGAGTGTGCACAATGCAATCATCTCGCCATCTTTCTTCCCCATAAACTGTCAGAGGGCCTCACACAGAGGGTGGACACACACAGAAACACGTTGCATAAAAGGCGCATTTAGGCTTATTCAGTTGGAGTGGTGTGATTTTGGTCTGTGGCAACTTTGGACCAAGTTTGAAATATAGTATTTTACAATTTTTGCTTCATTTGCGAGACGGAAAAGGTGAATGCCAATGTTATTTATCAAAAATGGCATGACACTACCATATTTTGGATCTGTAAAGATAACTTGGTTTAGGTTTAACTAGTGGCAAGGTGGAATAAGTCTCCATATTTGTACTTTTACAGCAATATTATAGTAAAAAACATTAAATTCTGCAACAGGAATTCTACCAAAGTAACAATAAGGTATTAAACTGTCTTGATAGTATACAGAAAAATATATACTAAGTATTAAAATGACCCTGTCACAGATATGTTATTCACTATATTTTATTACTGGAATGTTATCACTAACAAATGATCATGTAACACTCTAAATACATGTATACATATACTTTACACATAGTAATGTATTTGGTTGAACTGATATATCAATTCATTTAATTTAATTTGTAGCTGATCCCTTTTTTTCATTCAAGTACAAGTCAATTGCTTCGTCACATTTTAGAAAGCCATCACTATTTCAGAGATGCCAGGAGGAGAACTTTATCATTCATTACCAGAAGCACACTTCAAATATTAGTATGTTGTGTTGCCTAATGGATACAAACGACTAAATAAAAGTCAGTTAGTAGCACACTGTTGTGAAATACCATCTTAAGCCGAAACAGGAACTCCCGAGCTCAGTTACGTGGAAACATTTTGATATGAGCCGCGGCTGGGTAGAAGGTGATGTAATGCCTTTGGGCAGATTATTCTCTCTCACATCAAACACACACAAAATGAGTTTCAGCATGTTTTCATTCCAGTGCTGCTTTGTCTTCTGGGTATATTTACTTAAGCTGAGCATAATGCTGAAAAATAAATACATTACGGGCTTACAGTTGTTTGGCATGTCGGGCTGCAGTTCACAGCATACATCTATTTATCATAGTTCCATCTATCATAGTCAGTGAGTCACTAAATGGCCCATTCATAAACCAGATGTCACAAGAACACACTGTTCAGTACAAACAGACCTTGGTAGGTAGCCATGATGCTTTTTTTATTCGTACGCCATGTCCTCAGATGTTACGCCTTTTTTACGATCACTCCCAAACCATCAGACCACCTATCATCATCTGTAGTAAAGACAAAGAAAGTACACAAAAAGACCACAGCGCTCGAGTGGCTATATCCTCTGGCAGGACTGATTTTGGCCGCCTTTTTCTAGTCATTTAACGTCACAGGAAAATGAATTAGCCTTGAATGGCGGTCAAAGCACTGAAGGTCCAGATCCAAAAAGCCTTGGAACTGTCTGAAAATGTGCGCTATAACCGTGCTTTGTGGCCGGTGGTACGACCGGGTGATGATGACTCTATTCCGCTGAGTGACTAATAATAACATGGAAGGCAATGACGACATGTTGCGCTGAGCCGATGACTAACGTGGGTCTGAATGTGATACGTAGGTTTCGTTTACGGCTTTTTTGCATCATGATGAAAGATCAGTTGTATCAATAACGTGTGACGAGATCCAAATGCACAGTATGACATGTGAGAAACAAAAGTTATGTCGAGACATGCACAGCCTCCAAAGACGTTGAAAGATTGGAAAGCCCAGACTCAAAGATTTCTGCTGCCTTTGGTAATGTACCGAACATGTTTGTGCTCACAATGGTTGGAGCTGATTAAGTGAAAGTGGGATCCATGTCTACTAATGCCAACATCCTCTGGCTAGAAAATGTAAATTAAAACATCTCATCAGGCACAAAGTAACTCCTGGAACCCAACAAACCTCAAAGATTGATTACACATGTAAGAGCATCTGAGAGTGTTTTGTTCTTTAAAGCACTTCAAGTAAAGGTCATGGATTCAAATTGGCACATTTTGTATTCTGTTTGTTGTGTTGCCTGTGAGTACAGCCGAAAATATAGCCTCCAGGGCAAAACTAATAATAATAATGATGTTAAATATTCCTTATCTCCCATTGCTTCAACAGGCAGAGGAACATGCGGTCCCGCAGCAACAGTCTGGAGGACGTGACCAAGGCCAATCCGGAGCAGGAAAAATCGGACTCACGCAAGGGGTCTGTGGAGCGAGAGGTGCCCTCAGGAAGGGCCGAGCGCCGCAGCAGACACCGGGAGCCGCCGGATGACACGGGCACCATTCAGAGGAATCACAAAACGGCCAAGAACAGCCCCTGTGCCGGTGGGAGTGGAAATGGAAGTAGTAGTGGGAGTGGGAGTAGCGGTGCTCCAAAGGGAGCTCGGAAGGAGAAGACCAGGGACCTTTCCCGAGATGACCTTGTCTTTCTTCTTAGCTTGCTGGAGGGAGAGCTGCAGGTAATCCAAAGTGTATGAGTGAGCCTTAGAACAATTAGTCGGTCCAGCAGACATGGCAAAGGCCCCAGTTGGACATATAGTCAGAAACAATGGGTGAGTGGGCCCTAAAGATGGACTGTGTTAATGGACAGGCAACAGCTGAGGCTACTTCCTGTCATTCCAGCCCTGGATCCAGGAATCTGCTGGCACCGTTTGTATGATAGGAACAAGGCTAAGTCTGCATTACAGGCTGAGGCTTTAGAAGCTACATACAAAGAATCAAAGTCAACGCATCTATTGGAGGTGTTTTTAAGTCTGAATCTGTGGGCCTGCCTTCAGATAAAGCCTGGGAAAAGTTGCCCCTTAGCTTGTTTAGTTTTGCCCTATTTGTAGATGCCTGTGGGATTTTTTATTTAATCTTAAAGACACTTAAGAAGAGAGCCAAGTTCATGAGTAAATGTCCCTCACTAAAACGTAAGCTTGAAGTTATTTTAACCATCATTTGTTAAGAATAGAATCGTCTCTTGCTGTTTTGCTGCTGCATATTGGAAGTCTGCTTCATAAAGTTAAATCTAACCAAATCAACCTTCTTCCCCGACTACAGGCCAGAGATGAGGTGATCACGGTTCTGCGGGCAGAGAAAATGGACTTTGCACTGCTGGAGGCCAAATATGGCTTTGTCACACCGCCAACAGTCCTGCAGTCCCTGCAAAGAGACGCCATCCAGGGCAAGGCTGAAATGTTCCAAGAGGACATCTACGAGAAGCCAATGATAGAGGTAACAGCAACTCTCAATCAGAATTAGCGACCGCATATATGGGTCTGAAATAAGCTCCATGACAGGTGTCTTCTGTGTGCTTCCCCCCCCCACAGCTAGACAAGCTAGTAGAGAAGCAGAGGGAGACGCACCGGCGGATGTTGGAGCAGCTCCTGATGGTGGAGCAGTCGCACAAACAGGCCCTGTTCAAGCTGGAGGACGAGAAGAGGAACCACGGAGAGTTCATGAAGAAGAGCGATGAGTTCACCAACCTGCTGGAGCAGGAGCGCGAGAGGTCAGTGAATCAATCACCACGAGCAAACTATTAGCTGAATTGTTTCTTCAACCCTGCAGTGTCAAAATGTATTTAAGTTGGCTTCCTTGGAGATATTTTGGTGACATATGATCTAAATGCAATTACTAATAACATCACATCTCAAATGCTGATTTTGGATGCGCAACTACATTCTTCCATCAACCTCAAGGAATAGGGTGCAATGACCATTAGGCCATTTTGATTCCTGTTTTTTTAAAGCCTTATCAGAATGTTCTTCCTGACATCAGTAGAGTTTTATTTAAATTATGACTACAAAGAAACAACACACGAATGACATATTATGTGATACTCGAGTTGCAGCAGTTTTAACTTCTGACTACTAAGCAAGTTTCGCATGAAGTATTATCGGGTGGGACTAGATATTCCACAACGAGAGGTTATAACACATTTCAGACCTTAATTAGACTGCCTGATCCATTAAGATCTAACAGGCAGAACATAAAAAGCCTTAAACTATATCAAGTGACATTCATGTCATCACCACACATCATGCATGAGTTCAGCCCCTAAATGCAGTATCTAAGTGAAGCCAAATTTACGACTGATGCGGCTTTCCTATTTTAGGAATATCTGTCATCTCTGCTGTCCCTACAGTACAAGTGTCTTTAGGAATCAATGTCAACACGCGCATGTTGGACGGCATCTAGAGTCATTTCAGCATTTAGAGGAGAAGAGCGATCAAATGTTTGTCTTTTTCTATGACAATGAGATGAAGGATAAGGATAGTGGCCTTAAATAAGCTTAAGCGCATTGCTCATAATGAGCTTGTCCGCTAGTAAAGGAGTTGTTAGAGTCCTCCTTCCAATCCTCTGTAATGTTAGCATGAAATCAAATTGCTCTTCAGGATTACAGGGGAAACAAAAACAAAAGAATTCCATTATTGTTTTTCCCATGACCTGTAAATAGGTACTTCACTTTTATTATCACTGTTTATTGACCAAACGCTGTAGCACACCAACGTTTTTTTCTGGAGAGTAGGAGCAAGAGTTTGTTCACAGATCATTTTGGTTTGAGCTTGGATACACAAATAAGCTTTAACTTTGCAGCTCTGTTTTATGGTAGCACTGAGGATATACGGTATGTGAAGCAGAGTGAAAAGCTCTTTCTAATCCGCTATCCTGTGCACTGACCTAAGACCACAAACAGATGTTTATTCATTTGGCGTGGGATGTCAGTCAGTCATTATTGAGGTGTGTTTGTTAGTGAAGCAACTGCAGCTCATTTATGCTAATGTTAAAATCATTTGAAGAGATACGCCTCTCAGGTTTATGCCTTTATATTTCCAGGACAATTGTTTTAGTGAAACAGGTTTGTTTTACCAATAGAAAGCACTTTAAACGGAAATCATTTGTGCAACTGAAGATTGTGACTACCATGCTGAATAAGGTACATTAATGGGTCCTGAAGCTCAAATGAGTGACATACCATCAGGGCTGATACAGGGGCTCAAGCCTGGACAAGGTGAAGCAAACTTTCAAATAGTATCACCAAAATAAATCAGGAACGACTAGCAACTAAGAGTTTTCTTGATGACATGGAAAACATGTTGTCCAACACATTTTAAAAAGTGTTGGTACGTGTCATCAGATTGAATAGGGGGAGAACAACAGAGTCATGTTGGCGATGGTTGACTCTTCATATAGCTACAAAATCTCAAATTGTCACATACTTCCTTTTATTACTTATTACCTGGAAACATCATCATCCCAATCTGATATATATTATATCTGCAAAACATCTGAATTGTTAGATTGTTATATTTAATCACTGCTAGAATGTTTGTACTGTACCATAATTCCTGGTAGCACTTATTCTATCAAGTGCTATGAATTATAAAACATCATTTAGAGGCCTTGATAACATATTACAGCATGTTGTGTCTGTTAGCTGTAATTGCATCTGTGTGATGTAAGCAGACATTGTACTTGTGTTAAATATCCAACCTCACACTGGATTACGAGACATTACAAGTATTTTTTCTTACTGTACAGGCATGTTGTCTTAACGGCTCTAATGGTGGAACTGTGATCCATTAAATAGCGTAATGTGAGATAAGTCTGGGACGGAGCTGTTTAACATTGCCAGCTAAGACCTAATGTGGAAACATGTCCGACTGATTTCTTCTGTAAATGTCAAACAAGAGAGCCGTCACTGGGCTGTGCTATGTTTACTGCTTCCTTAGCAATATCACATATCATACACACACACACGCAGGGTATGTGCACTAACCCAAAACCTCACCTACGACTCAAAGGGGCACACTCACGGCCGTAAAACCACACACACACACACACACACAAATGCGGCCTCAGCAAATCATTTCACAAAAGAAACACAGCTGGACGTCGGCCCGTGACCTATTTGGGACGGTCACATCATTCCACTTCAGCCGTAGCAGAGTGTTTGAGTTGGACCGGAGGACAGTTTGACGACGGTCTGCGCTTTGTCACCAAGCATGTCAGGAAGGACATGGCTGCCATGAAAAATAGGCCTCTCTGTCAAGGATCGGGCTAATTACTGCGTGAGAAAAGGCGAAAAGATTTATACGACTGAGAGCAGACCAAAAAAAGAAAGAAGAAAAACTAACCTAATGGCTCTGAGAAGCATCAATCACACTGCATGTTCAACAAGATGCCAGATTACCATGGAAATAGTTGATGATGGTGTATATGTTCAGTGTCGGGTGCGCCAAAGACTCCAGCCTGAGTAAATGTATAGAACTGAGTCAAAATGTGTGTTCGCATCTGCTGTGTTCATCTGTCCTGAGATTGGACGCAGCTTTATTTATGTACTCTCAAAATGTGTGTCATGTGTTAAGTTATTAGGTAAACGTGTCTCCTCTTACTGTACCTCATTCCCTCCTGGAGTTGTTTTCCTAGGCAATCCTCACATGAGACATTAGATTTTTTAGTGCCGCTACACAGATAATTATGAGTTATAACATGGTACTGCCTATGCACATGAGTTACAGTACATGTGGGGCTTCATAAATGAGGGGCCAACAGCATTCATAATATGAACTGAGTAGTTTAGTTTGATGGATCTTTATTAGAGCTTGGGTTTTATTTCTTTAGGGTTTGTACATAATTTATATTGGTTATCAGCCTTCACTTTGTTCACTGATCTCCAACATTACCAGCAGCCAATACAATTAGGGATAAACTCTGCTGTTGAAACTTCCAGTGCTGATCAGAAAAATAAAACCTTTCATTTCTGTATAACAGTCCACTGATCCTCTAAAGCCCTTCGCTCGAGCACAAAACCCAGTTTGTTCAGCGATCCTGTTCTGCTCTGCTCTCCTTCCAAAACATTATTACAGAGGGCTAGAAAAACTGCTAACCCAGAAATAACTTTGACTCCTATAAGGAAACGTATCACTTGACTGAAGAGTGTTTTGAGTTTGGGCATGTATCGTATTAGAGGCACCACGTCACAGCAGGCTTTCATTTCTCTCGCACTGATGCATCATTGTTTTATGCATTTTAGCCCGATGTAATCATTTCCTTTTACGGGGTTCTGGAAAGTTACATCCTAAGGTAAGAGTTGTACATGGGAATGGAGAAAAGCCTTTTCCCTCATACACTTTAAGCGCTGTACACCTCCGCTGCCTTTTTTACTCTATTATCAAAGCAGGATGCTATTAAGACAGTAGACCCTGGAAGCTCCTAAAAAGCATGCAAATATGGACAGGGGGGATGAACTGGACTCCCCTCTGATAAATTGGCAATCGAGCGATGAGTGATGACCTCATCGGGTGCCGGGTACACCAGGAACAGCAGGAGTGTGAGAGCGAGAGCGGCATCCTAACCATCAGCAGATGTGACTTTAAACATGACTTCAGACACACACACACACAAACACACAAACACACACACGCTGCATGCAGCTACGCCACGGCAGGCTGTGTGCTGGCCTTTGTTCTTCTGCAGAGAAATGAATTTGATGACCATCTGTATCCTCTGATTTCATGCACAGCATAACAAAATGACTGATGCTAGTGTGTCATGTGAGAGAGTGCATGGAAATATGAGTCTCCTGCTATCTTTACCATTTAAAGCTACACCAGGCAACTCCACATGTTGATGTCTGCAGATGACAGCAAGGGGCATGAAACATGAACCTGGACTCGCAGAAATCCTGTGATGTAATGGCAGTAAAATGTTTACCAGGCCAGCTGGTCTGGGATCATTTTAAACCAGAGGGAGTAGAGAGGCAAAAGGTATGTTACTGAATCCAGGGTTTGTACAATTTAATACTTTAATGAGTTTCATTTGGCAGTTAAACATAATAAACGCTACCACAAAATCATAAACAGAAATACTAATGTGCTATATAATGATAAGGTCTTTGGATTTTAATATTGTCAACACTCTGACCTAAGCCTGTTATATATAAGGGCTCACTTAATGGAACAACAAACTGCTACTTCCACCATTTTCTTAAATAATTTTCATTACTTTTCTATAATTTCTTTCTTTTATTCTTGTTAATACTTGCCTGTGTCCAGGCCTCTGAATAAGTCTGGCATTGTGACATGAAGCTGCGTTTTTAAATCGGTTAAATGAGCGTTGCATGTACAGTAGATTAGCAATTAGCTTAGCTTAGATTAGCATTAGGGACTAACCCCATTGTCAAACTATGCATCATAGAAGACATTATCGCCGACATCCCAGCTTGTTTTAGTTTGATCTGCTGATTTTTCTCTGTGTTTATCAGACAGAGGTCTGTGGATAAATCAAGCAACATTATCTTATCTCAGACATGTCAGTGTCTGTTTGTACTGTATGTTGGCCAATAAACACAAAGAATCGTCAGTAGAGGAATGCCAAACATACACCCTATAGTTCTACCATTAAAGGGAAATTACAATTTGATAGAGTCTTGGTTAATATATTTAATGGAGAACATAGTTCGTTTTTGTTATGTTTTCATAAAAAATATGTTGTGATATTGATAGTGACATCAAAAATCTCTTGGATTTGATTGGCCTATAGTCTGATAGTGTCTTGCAGTCTCAACAGAAATGAAACGTTAACCAAAAGTGGTCGTCACTGCAGAGTTTGTTATTTTGTCCATCCGCTGTATGTTAAAATCTAATCACTGTGTGAGGCCATATCAATGTCAATATGATCCTAGGCTGCATGACACATGAATCAAATGTGCGGGGGTGTTGGATGTCCATCTATTTCCTTACATGATTAACAGTAATGAGATGTGCGTAGTTTCCCCCAAAAATATTTTTATTTCCTGTATTCAATTAGTCATCATGATGAAGCTCAACAGTTATTAATTTGCCATAGAAACAAAGCGCTGGGAAAACAGCCCGCAGAGGATATGAAACAAAAGCGCGTTGACGTAATTGACTGGCCGAAGAACAAGTTATTATCACTGAGTGTTTCTTACTGTAGATACAAAGCACGGTAGCTGCTAACGTGACACCACATGACCTCCCTCCATTTTGATGGTTCGCAGGGCACACAATATATCTCCATGCCATCTGGCTGACTGCAGCAGTGACATCACTCATGTGGATCAGATCGAGGACATTCTTCCGCGATGTCCTCACTGTCTCTCAGACGCTTATTATCAAGACCTGCCCTATTCTTTGAAACTGAACAGATTTGTTTTTACGATCTGTGATCTTTGCTTATTAATTATCACTGATCCTGTCTCTGCAGGTTCACCTCAGAGGCAGGTTGTGAACCCTGCATGATAAAGTTATACAAGATTGTGAGGAAGTTGTCCAGCAGCTGTTTCACTGTATATACACAGATCTGTCCTCACCTATGCGTTGTTAGGATGTTATCAGTAAGCTGACATGTGATGGCTGAGGCTTTCCTGAAGCACACCTGTATTCCTCCTGAACATATTTCCGCCTGCTGCAATGCATATTATACATTCCTCCTCAAGGCCAGATTTTGATATGAGGAATAGATGGAGAAATCGTCTGCTCAGTTTCCAAATATATCTTCTAAAAAAAAAGTCTTGTTTATTAAAGGCTGGTACGGGAAAGTACACACAGTTCTTCTGCGTCAAACACTTCCTTTTATGGGAAGGACAGCTTACTTTGACTTCTCTATATGACGCTACTCAGATATTTCTACGCTTTGAAGCCTCACCAGCATGTTGAGGTCAGGAATCACACGGATACGACACATTCAGGGACACCCTCTGAGCACACATGTGACACGCAGCCTCCTCTCAAAACACATTCTGAGAAATGCGTCAGTACCTTGCTCAAAAACCAGAGTAGAGTGAGAGGTTTAGCTTTATCTGTTTGTGCGCATTAACTCTTTGAATATAAATGGGATAACAGGAGCGTAACAGCAGAGGATGAGTCTGTTTTTTTTGTTTGGTTTGTGTACTGTAAACGTCAGTGGCTACTGAGCTGATTGGGTCTGGTTGGCCAACATTCCCTTTTCTTCTTTGGCCAGATAAAGAGCAGATTGCTCCACTGCCACCTCCACCTCACGCTCATGTATCTGACTGTACTGTAACTGTAAGGTTGACAGGATTAAGAGTAGGCAACTGATCCTCCTTTTCTTACACTTCACCTTAAAAGCTGTTTAATTGCACAACTTTATCCAAAACCTGGAAGACATTGACTGTGATTTATTTTAAAGCTATGTATTTAAAAAAACGATTTTAAGAAAACTTGCATTCAAAAATGTTTTAGTCTGGAGGGTTTAAATAAACGCTTTATAATGCTTGAAAAGCGTTTTTGTAAGCAGTAGTGTAAATAAACATATTGCATGATCAGACAAATTACCTTTTTTGGATTTTTAGATAATGAGGGAAGCTGTTGTTCACAGGTGAAAGGAATGAGCTCATAGCTTTGCCTTTTGGATCTGTTGTGTCGTGTCTCTAAGCAAAGCATTTCCTTTGAATATCATGGACTGAATGCTTGTTTTGTTCTGGTTTCAGCACGGCCCCCTGAACACAGCTTAAGCAGTTCATGATTTCCTGATAAATGGAGTTATCTCATACACAAAATATGAAGGTATTCTTTAAAAAGACAAGGTGCACCAGGAGTAACTCTGCACTGCAGATGTGCTGGGAGTGGTGCATCAGAAGACTAAAGGCAGTAACATAAAACAGACAGCACTCACATGAAAAGGGTTTTATGTGTACACCCTTTCCTTAAAGTGTGTGTATTAGTATTAGTCCACTACATCTGCAAACTAGGTGGTAATCTGGCCCAGAGTCATTCCATGGCGTAATGTGATTACATCTCCCTGACAGAATGCAGCGATTAGACCTCACCGACCGCAAGGACGTAAGACTTACTTCTTGTTTCCAACTTGTTATAAATGAGAAAAAAAGCCTAAAATAGAACTTAAATGTTGCAATTCTCTGTAAGCGTGAGAAAAAACACAGTTTAGGATTCAGACTCCTAAAGTGAGTGTGGAGCACTTTCAGGCAATCTATTAAATCAGCTTTTTCAAAGTCAAAAGAGTGCAGAAGGTGTTGTCCTAAATGAGGTCTCATTATCTGCATTAACCATGTGGAAAAATAACCTTTCCTGTAACAAGAATTTAAGATATTATTTCATTAAACAAGGACAAAACAGGTATATCTTTGTTATGGTAAAATGACCTCAGCCAAGTGTTCTCAGAGCATTTGAGCAGCATATTTGTGACTTCGAACGTCTGTCAGGGTAAAAAAACTGACTAGAACTTGACAAATGATTGTGGTGACTAGGAATCTGCAGGGGTGTTGTATGAGCTAATCTTCTATTTGTGAAAGGAAATAGCACCGAGGGCGGAGGGCCAGGGTCAATGAGGAAAAATGCGGCTAATGTAGAGTTAGCATGACATTTCTACGCTTGCTGTGAACCATGCATGGCCTCTGTCAGAACTAGAGACAGTGAAAGATGGCAAAACTCAATTGCAACACACAACAGCGAAACCCAAAGAATGACATGTAAGCTTGACATTGCGGAGGATACATTTACCCGCCAGCAAGAACTAATCTCTCTGATTTACCTTCTTCTCACATTTGTTCTAGCAGACACCTTCTTGAGTTACAGCTTGGCAAAACATGGCAAAGGGAAGCCATTTTTCCCTGCCGTCCTGTCAGGCTGGAAGGAAGCGACAGCGAGAAAGTTGCACATTACGTCTTTGTAGCTGGCAGCTGCAGAGTCTGAACAATGAGACTGAGCCTGTGCTGCCGGCCAACTAGCTGTCCAGATAGTGAGTGAAATATGGAGGAGGAAAGAGCCTGCCTAGATCTGCCAACTCAAATGTCTCATTGTGGTGAATGGGCTATGGGGACAGGGCAGCGATGAATTGTGCAAACAGGGAAAATTAATCAATGGTGGTGACATTTTACCCATTTGCTTCTGAACAAAGACAGGATTGCTGCACTGCTGTATCAGGCCCAATAGTCTAATAGGCCAATGAAAAAGGTCATTTAAGTTGCGTTCAGTTAAACTGGGCGCAAAAAGAAGTCCAATTGTGGAGACGTCTATATTTAGAAAATGTGTTTTTACGGCAAGACCATGGCAGATGAGTCTAATACATACGCTCATTTGAACACAACTCATGACCTCATATCCTGTTTCACCCACTGGGAGGAAGAGTCAGATAAACTCCACCCATGGGACTGTAATTTGGCGCAAAAAATACCTCTTTTGGTTATCTTTCTTCCTCTGCAGCATTAGTGATTTACTGTATGCCACCATTGTTGCTTTCACTTTCCTGTGTTGGAGCTTTCCACACCACCTTTACCTCAACTGGGTAAAACAACACAACCACACAAAACGAAACAACATAGAAGTATAAAAGTCTATATCAAGCTATAGTTTGGTATGAACACACAGGGGATGGAGATTTAGCTTATCTTTGAACCTTTTGCTATTTTAACTGCACATATATTATTTATTGAGTCATTGTGTCTGGAGGGATTTTATGGGAACTGTGTAAAATTGAAATTGCTCATGTAACTTCAGGAAGCACCTGATTTGGAGGTGGTAACTGTTCATTAGGGGCATTTATAGGGCTTCATTTACTTTTCCCTGACGAAGTTTGTCTGAAAAAACAAAGCTACTATTTAAGGTTTATGGCAGTTACTTGTGAATACAGCCTTTTATTTGCAGCTAAGGAAGTTGGAATTGTATTTGCACATTTTTTAACATTCATCATCAACTTTTAACTGTTAAAATCCCCGCGTTACGTATCAAATATTGAGAGAGAGAAAGTAAGAAGTGACTTTATGGTTATCGTGGGGGTGACAAAATCACTGCGAGAGAACCAGTCGAGACTGAGGTGGTCCAGTGTCAGGATGTGATATGGAAACCGACATTTTAAACTTGGGGATTGACTGTTTGGCAGGGAACAATAGAGAGCTGTCAAAGGGACCACCCTGTCGCAGTGCATCCTGGGATATTGACAAGACTCTCAGACTGCCCAGGAAATAAGAGCCACGGTTGGGTTTTAAATTCCCTCAGCCCAGATCCGATGGAAGGTGCTGGAGATGATTGATGAGAAGGTTTTCCTGTTAGCTTATGAGGCTGGAGAATAGCTGGCACTGCTCTTTT